ACCAGCTGTCGATTGGCTTTACTGGAACATTCATGCTGACGCTGTTTCCGAGGAAATCTCCTTCGATTCCGGTAAAAAAAGGTGCTAAGCTTTCGTACGTCATGTGACTGACAGCATCAGAACAAGTTATCATCGTCACAACCAAATTCAAACTAACGGGTCAAGAAAACTCACCGGTACATCCTTAAAAAGTGGTATAAATACTCAACCTATGGCCTATTTGATTAAGTATAAAGTGGTTTAGTTAGTTAAGGTCATATGTCGACTTCGATGCATGTGAGTGTGTCTGTCTCTGTATGTGTATGTACCTGTTTGTGTTCGCTTATGCACGAAACCCACAGTGATGGCGCAAATTAATTAGGACAGCAAAAGTAACGTCTGTTTATGGCGATCAAGGTTTGATGACCACTATCTCCTCACTTCTACATACATATTATAGCCATTACTTCGATTTTGCAAGATCGGATACACGTCTAGTTATGTTGATGATTCATTTTTTTTGTCTTCATGTGAGAGAGAAAGAGTGAGCTAAAATAAGTGACTAGGATTAGAACCAAAACAAGAAAAGATTAGTTGCGTCGCCTCCTTTTTGCAGGCGGCTCAACTACCTCCCTATCCTTCAGTCCATTAATTAAGCACAAGTAAATTTATTTATCATCTTACCAGAATTCCTTACATTCAATGTATTTCCTATTCGGTTTATTTCTATGGCTTCTCTTATTTTACGTTTAATCGCAAACATACGATAATCAGCAAAACTACGAGTTTGAGACCATTCAATCTCGTGTTCCGTTTCTGGCCTGTGCTCAGCCAGATCCGATTTTTGATCTCGACAGCTTTTGCAGACACGGTTGTGCTCAGCCACCTTTGTCGAATCGGATGACAAATCTCTCCAACATCAAAGCGACCACATGAACGCATTAGTTTGCAGCAACCCGATCTGGATAATGGGTCAACTTTCTCTCTAAAAGTTGGCATAACTGAAGAAAGTGTCATAGTTTCCCTGAATGCCATTTTTATTCCCCCACTTCCTTACTTGTTCACCTCTCCTTTTAGAGAGAATGTACGAAGGTAAAGACAAAACATGAGAAAATGTCTCCTTATCTCTCCTTACGTATTCAACATTCAAAAAGCTATACTTTTTTAATCGAATGCTATTTTCAATCAAGCCTAGGAAATAATTATTCTCAAGAAATATTATTTTAACCCGATCCAGTTCATTGTCACAATGGTCTAGTATAATGCTCCGAATAATCATATATTTTTAAACTCCAACCTTTCTTTTATAACTATGATTGGAGAAAAAGTTAAGTATAAAGCCAGCATGATAGAAAATTAAGTAATTTAGCCATCAACATCAGCCAAAGGAATCGTCGAAACAATAAGGAGGTATTTAAACTTAGTACTATTTTTTCTAGCAAAAATGAAGTCATTAATTTATCAGGTATATTCATAGATGATAATGCTAGGCTCTTCTTCGAAAGGCGTCTAAACCTTGCCTTTCCAAATAAGTAAAATCATTCTATGGAGATACTGGATGAGTTAATTAACTTAACGGACAAGCTGCCAGA